GACTGTAAGCCAAACAAGTACTCCCTCAACATGTTCAGCAGCTTCGGGAAGAACACATGTTGGATGCCCAGGAGAGCTCTACACACCTGAAGAGGCAGCAGTCAAACAAAGCTCACCTGAGGAGCCTAGGAAGGATCATGAGACTATTTATTTGCACCTGCCCCATCCTAGTGCAGGAGGCCACGCAGCCTGCAGCACCCGGGGGTGATGCTCCCTTTGAAGGCAAAGAGCAGAGGGGGATAGCTGACCAGCACAGCGCAACTGCCCAAGCAGTGCCCACCACTCGCTCGTGCTGAGCCTCAGCGTCTCTCCTCTGTCCTTGCCAGCTTTCCCAGGCTCCTGTGTAAGCTTCTGCCCTCTCCTTGCCTTCTCAGACCTTCAGGAACAGACAGACGGCTCTGAGGGCCAGGCTGTGCAGACACAAGATGCCCAGAAGATGGAGATCGTGCTCCCCGAGGCAGGCTGCAGAGGTGCCTCCACCCAGGGCGCTGGAAGCGGCGTTGCTCTTGCCATGGGACACCAATGGCCCAGCCAAGCCCGACGCAGCACCGTCCAGTAGACAGAGCAGGACACAGGTTTGTCGCAGGCCCTTGTAGAGAATTCAGCAAAAAGGTCTTAATTAGTTTATTACACAAGAAGATGACAGAGATCACACAAAGCAAGGCAAACGCGAAGAGGCAGATGGGGAGGGCAGGAGCTATACAGGGGGCTGTCTACTAAGAAATTAGCTGCCACCAGCATTATCCAAAAAACCCCCATGAACTAGGCTAAAACCACAAACAAACCCTGCACTGGGGCCTGGGAAGCTGGAGAATGTCACAGCAAATGACTGCTGTCTTCGTGGCACAACTCTATTAGCAGAAGAGTAATGTAAACATTTATGACTTCCAGCACTGGTATTTTCACCTTCCCAGAAGAAAGCACACAGAGTCCAGTTTTGGAGCTCAAGATGGGCAATGAATTGTTCAGCATACCTGTAGAGGGGATCTGCAGACTTCTCCAGGCGCTCCAGCAGTACTTCAGCACATCTCTGGGATGCAGACCACCTTTGCGACACGCTCAGCATTGAACTGGTCCCACAGAAATGCTACAGGTAGACTGTACCAGGTCTACGTTGACTTGAATTTCTGAAGGAAGACCCTGCCTGCAAGTTTTTGGAAGTAGGAGAGTGTGGAAACATTTGAGGGGGTCACAGGGTACAATGTCGCTCCCACTGCTCCCCACAGCGGTGCCACACAGTGGCATAACTCACAGGAACCGTGCTTGCAGAACCAGCCACCATCCCCTCCCAGCTGATGCTCACCCTCCCACGGCTTTGCTATAATTCATCTACTCTCCATTCCTCCAGTTTAAAACTCTAGTGGAAAAACCTGGCCTTACTCAGTCTCCAGTTTCTGCTTACCTTATCTGCCAAGCCAAAGGCAGGGTAAGTGAGACAGGTCAGTGGGTAAGCCCAACTGCTGTGTCAGGAGCAGCAATTCTGACTCAAGGGCTTGGTGTGGCAGAAGCACGGCTGAAAACGTCACCTTACGGAAGACGAAGACAGGAGTCAGAAATCTGGGAAGCAATAACTGTGCAGGACTTGGGCACCTGGACAGTACGGGAAATGTGGAGATCATCAAGGCTGCCTGTGCTCTTAGCACCTGTAGCTGTTTCAAGAACCAGGAGAAAAAACCCTTAGCTATAAATACCAAAAGGAGGCGTGAACACAGACGCCGAGGTGACGCAGAAAAACATTTAACCACCTAAAATACAGAGTAGGCTTCGAAGGGTATCAGATGACTCCCCCCACACTCCAAACTGTCTCAGAATATCAGTCTGAAGCAAGAGACTCCTCAGGTCCGACCCCGTGGGCAAAACAGGCGCCTGCTCTGCCACAGGTGCAAAGCAGCGGAGCCGGAAGGGAAGGCAGCGAGCTCTGGCCCTTTTCTGCTCAGAAACAAGAAAGCCAAGATCTAGCTGAAATAATGAGTGCTTCCTAGAGGCTCGTGTCTCTCAATTTTAGGAGACCTGGGAAAGTTGGGGGAACAAGTCCTTTGGAATAATAAGCAATGTCCAAATTCCGTGTATGAGACAGGAGACCTGGCTGGATGAAGTGCGCGACGCGGCTCCTTACAGAAGAAATCCGCATGCGCATCCTCACTTCACACACAGGTGTCCCCAAGCCCATGCGCCGAGACCTCTTTCAAAAAAACCCAGCAACATAAGCAAAGAACTGCCCATAAGTAAAACACCTTCAAATCATTCCCTCTGCAAAACCTCAAAAATCGGGCAAGATGGGCTTTACGACGTTTGGTTAAAACCCCGCGTTCTGCTGCACTCGAAGCAGTACTGTACAGAGGGATCCCTTCCAGCTGCTGATCGCTGCTGCTGTCGTGCTTGCAAGGTGCAGGTTTTGTTACTGGAAAGGCATTCTCTCTCCGGAATTCTAAATTCTGGCTGTAAAGAGGTCTTTATATAAAAGATATTGGCAATGGCATGTTTCTAGTCTATCGGCACGCACCTCTCCAGAGCAAGGGGGGTCACGAGTCTACATCCAAATCCTGTCCCCGGATTACCAATGGCTGGGAAGCAAAGTCTTCTCCTGTCCTAGGCAGCCTCCAGTGTATTTTTCCTCTCTAACAGATTACCCTTTTAATTCAGACAGTTTCTGCCTTCTCCCAACAGTCCCCACACACGTCTGTCCAAAACATACCCTGACTGCTGGCTCAGCTCTGTGCCAGCGGGGTGGCTGAAGGCATTTTATGGAACAAGCAGAGCGCCATGATTATAGGTCTTTACTCTCATATTAAGAAGTGCAAAAGCAGATGCCAGTGACCACAGCCTGGCACCATGGCTCCTGGAGCCTCCAGCCCACAAAGAGAGGAAAGGGCTCCATTTTGACCACGCGTCCATCCCATATTCAGAGTACAAAAGGCATTGCCATCTCCAGCCTAGCAGTCCCGTGAACGCTCCCAGCTTGCTGGCTTCACAGCACCAGCACCACAGACCCTCCACCAGCTCGGACCCACGTGCAGCACGCTCCCAGGCGTTGGATGGGGGCACGCTCCCAGGCCTGCGTTCCCATGGCATGGATAACATGAGTCCAGGTTTAAATTAAATAGCAGGAAAGGGGTTAAAGTTTAAATGACTGTTTTGTATATGAATTAATGTATGTAGCTTTGAGCCAAAATATCTACCATTAATTTTTCCACCTATTTCAGGAGCAGTAAGATACACAAAGTAAAGTTTATTTTGGTACTTGGTATACTTCTCTCTCATTAAAAATAAATTAATCAGCAAATTCCTTCACAGCTCAGCCTTCTTTTATGTAAATACAACCCAGCTGTAATGAATTACAAGGTGTTATTATCTCACACACACTGTATAATACTTCACACATAAGAGGTTTCTCTGCTTAGCTCAGCTTTCAACAAAAGCATCTTAAATAAACTGCAAGCAAGTTGTTTGGTCTGTAATGTTTTCACAGAGAAAGGATACACCTCACACACAGAGGGTTTCTTTACATGACTCATTTTATAACAAGTTAAACTGAGGAAGTTCGCCTTGGAAAAAAATAACAAAATGCCTTTTTTATGCACAGAAGGCTCCCTAAGAGAAGATTAAAAAAAAAAAAAAAGCAAGCCAGTGTTTGGGAACCTATATTCTGCATCCCGCTGCTCTGTACACAGAGAAGGGATGTCAAATATTGCCCGAAAACACACAATATGAAGGACGCAACTTCAGAAGAACGAACAGTCGCAGCCAGGCACAGTCGCACTTTCACCAGATTAAGGATTCATAAATTAAGGATTAAATTTCACAAATTAAGGATTATCACCTTTGACTTTTGTTTAACAGTTTTACTAGGAATAAGTCCTGGTATTAGAGGGCTTATTCCTATCAAAAGCGCACAGGGCACAGAAAACACACACACACATCAATTTTACCCAGACTGACATTTATTATTGACTAGGATTTTAGACAGGAGAGAAATGAAAATTGTTTTTGTCACTGACCTGGAAATAGCCTGGTGGACCATCCACCTACGCAGCACACCTCAGCCTCTGCTGACTCAATCAGCGGAGCTCTTGCTCCCGTAATTACCGTGTTCGCGTAATTTGCCCGCACAGCCATATAAAGTTTTCAGCGGGATTGACAGGTCTTGTTAAAAAGCCCTGGACCACTGCATTGGGGGATGGAGGATAGCATGGTCTTGTCCCACTAAGAGCCACGGACAGAAACAGGGATGATGTTTTCATAAAAAACTTCTTAGACCACAACTCTAAAAAGACTATGGAAATATCAGCAAAGCAGACTGAAATACCAAGTAGTCTGAGGCAGCTTTTAGTGACAGCCCAGCCACGTTTTGGACTTCATTCTCATTATGATGGCTCGAGTCATGGAGGATTACTGGGGACTGTGCACTATTCTTTGTATCCTCCTATCCTTGTGCAACACAGCAGAGAGTTCCTAAACAGGATTTTCACAGAAAACCCTTCAGAATCTGTTAAAGCAATTCTTAACTGCACTAAAGCAAAAATGGACCATTCCATCCTGATATCAGGCTTTTAAAGTACATTAACGTCTAATATGCAAAGCTCAGATTTGCATTCACAACCGTTCAGCAAGCAGAGGAACACCGTTGTGTCTCTACACAGCAGCTCTCCACATGAGGTAAAGGACAGAAACGTCTTCTTGAGACAACTCTATGTCATGGTAAAATATCTGGTTTCCTAAAGACAGCAGGCAGGTCCTTCACTTTGTCAGCAAGGACCACTCAGTGCCATAAAAAGGACAGAGGTTGTCAAACCAGCTAGGATTTATTCGCAGGTGAATATTCAGAAGAGTATGGCTGTCCAATTTGCTACTGAGTCACCATGGATAGGACATCTAATTAAACATTTTCTTTTCAACAGCAGATTTTCCTTCCTGACCCCACCGCCTCAGCCCAGTTCCATTTCAGGCATGCTTCCCAAACTGATCTGACAAACTGATAGCCACACCAGGCGCCGGCGCGCTCAGAGTCCTTCGTCATTGTAAACGGGGGACAGGGGCTTGAGGATGCTGTGGGCGTTGCTCTCCACCAGCGGCCGCCAGCTCACCTCGCCCGTCAGCAGCAGGTCCTCCCCGCTCAGCGCGTCCAGGTGCTGCACCTGCAAGGACAGGACGTTAGTGCGAGGTGTCTCACCACCCGCTCCAGCTCCTCAACAGACACACAGACACGCTGCCGTCCAGAAAGCCAGCAGAACTGGGAGATTTTCGTATACTTTGCCATTTGTGAGGGCTAGACCTAAAAAGATCATTTACGACTGCTTAAGCCATGGCAAGGCCAGGAGATAAGGATCTGCAGATCCACTGGAGGTAACTGCGTAAGGTCTTCTGCTAACACCTTAGCTAATGCTTCCTCTGAAAGTTTGGCAGCAGGACAAAGCAGAGCCATGCAAAGCTAACATGAGTCATTTTATCTACCCGGCAGTTAATTCAGATGACACACGGCTAGTACCATCATTACACGGAGTATTCTCGTAGAAGTGGTTTCATACAGACAAAGGCTTTTCACTATAGAAAAAAAGCCTGACCAGCAGGGGACACCTGAGATTTATAAGATAAAAGCACACGAGCTGGAGGAGATGAACATGGAATGAACACTCACTCTCGCAATACAAGAAATACTTGGGATCAAACGAAATTTTAAGGTGCAATGTAAGCAAAATAAAACATCTCGTCACACAACATAGGGTTAACTGGCTGCCACAGGACACTGTAAACATGCAGGGGGGAGAGAAAGCCTGTCAAGGGTCTATCACCACCTCCGGCTCAGAAGTCTGTGGACTGCTGGAAGAGTTGACCAGGGAAATAGTACACACGCTTGCCCTGTTACTACAGTCTTCTCTGGCATCCACTAATAGCTGCTGCTAAAGACAAGATCAGCAAGAAATTGTGGGAAAGACCTCGTACACAATGCTTACTGGAAACAAAAGGTAATTTGACAAGGAATTTCTCAACAGAAGAAAGAGTACACCCACGGCCACAGAGGACCAGACTGAAGAGCCACCTAAGCACAAAATCCTGTTTCCGACAGTCATGGACAGCAGATTCCTCGGCAGGAGTTAAGTACAATGTGTGCATACAATGTTATTTTCCTTGTTTATTTTCCTTCCCTCTCAGCATTTGTTAGTTCAGGGATTTTGAGCCCAGAGTGGTGGTTGTGGATTTAACAGCCCTAGACAGACTTCTCCTCCATGAACCTTGCCCGTGGCTTTGGATCCCACGTGCAATCGTTGGATCCCAAACAGCCTGTGGCAACATTCTGTCCCCACGTTCTTGTATCAGTGAGCAGCCTCTCCTCGCTCACCTTTCACGAGCCTTCAAGATTTCCCAGAGCTGCCTCATTCTCTCCCAGCTGTTTTTCAGGCAGGGGATCCTACTCATTGATAATAAAGGAGCTGTTTCATGTCACCCTTACCTCCCTTCTCTGAGCCTTCCTCAGCTCCGTTTTTATCTTTCTCCATGTTTGGAAGCCAAACCATACACATCATTCAAGATCACATGGTACCATGGATTTAAAAAGTGGCATGACAACACTATTTGATTCTCTATTCCTTCCTTAGTATTTCTGAGCACTTGTTTTAGTTTTTCTAAACACTACAGACTGCTGAGCTGACATTTTGATAATACAATTATCATCTCAAGGACTCATTCCTGTGTGGAAACAGAAAGTTTAAACCTCATCAATTTATTATGAATATATAAAGCTGTTTTTCTCAAGCTTGCACCTTTAGAGCCTGCTACAGGAATGACCTGTCTTCATGGAAGCTGTGCTGACTCTTCCCCAATGTGCCATATTTATCTGTGATCACTGTTTCCTATTCAGGTGCTGATAGCTTCTGTCCTATCCTTCACTTGAATATACAGAAGTGCAACAAAATTCCCCACTTGGCAGCATATTGGCCCAAATTACATACTTTTTATACATGCCTGCTCCCCGCCAAACTTACAGCCTCCCTGATGTTAAGCATCAGCAACCTTCAGCATTAAATTAAGCCTGTCCCTCCTGAGAAGCCCTCTAGCATTCCAAAAGTGCCCTCAGTCCCTCACAGAGTCCAGCCCTTTACTTCCCATACCGTTTTCTCAGACACACACTGAAATACTGTCTCCCCAAATCTCTACCTGGTCCTGAATATAACACTGGAAACATTAAGGAGAATGCTGTTGTGGAGGTTCTGGTCTTCAGTTCCCCGTCCAACAGCCTTCACTCTTCCTCCAGAACCTCTCTCACCCTCGTCTGTCTTTGGTATCCGCCTGGACTATTTCCTACCAACACTTCCTAGAAACCTGGTTCACAAACCTCCGAAGGGTTAAGAGGACAAACGCTACTTAATATTGTTTCCTCCAGGTAATAACTGAAAGAAACAGAAATAATTCTGGAGAACAAAACCTTTTACTTCTGTCCCACAAAGACCATCAGAAGACTTTCAAGCTCTGTGTGCTGTTTCATTATGGAGAGGATCCTAACTCTCATTTCTAGTTCTACAAGCTGCAGCCCATTTCTGACATGTTTTATCAAGCCCCTCCATACATAGCATAGGTCCAGAAAAAGATGAGCAGGATTGCTTTCAACAGTCTGCGAATTTCTTTGCAGCCATTTCTCAACAAACTGCAATAAATATCAGCCCGTTTTTATATTTTTAACTTTTTCTCCCTAAAAACAATCACTGAATGTAAAAATCAGTTATGAGAACTGATCTACATAGCATACAAGCAATAAAAATAAATATTTGATATCCTAAACACCAGAATGAAGTTACACTACGAGCTGTCGCGTACCTGTTTGCGGACATATTCTACAAGTAACTCCAGGTGCCGAGGGTCTTCACAGTTCCTGTTAAAAAGGTTTCTCCAAAGAGCTGCTGCCAGAACACGATCGTCAGACAAGATTCCCTAAAGGAAGCACAGAGGGGATTACGAACTGCACATGAAGAGGGTCTGGACACAAGGCAACCACATGACACTACTTGACAAGTGACAGTATTACCTGTCTCAAAGTGCACAGCAGCTATGAACTGTGCATATGAAAAGGCACCACCATCACTCTTTCACAGAATCATAGAATGGTTTGGGTTGGAAGGGACCTTAAAGACCATCTGGTTCCAACCCCCCTGCCATGAGCAGGGACATCTTCCACCAGACCAGGGTGCTCAGAGCTCCATCCAACCTGGCCTTGA